TCCGCTAATCCGTGACCTCTGGTCTATACAGTAGCCTAACAGGTCATTGCAGGCTCATTGTTAGCCTGCATAGCCCCATACCTGTCTATGTCTCTGACATTAGATAGAGAAACGTCTTCAAACTTGGAAACAAAGTTCAATGATTGTTTTTTAACCTTTTTTTAATGACTTTGACCTGAGAATGACTCAGAATCTTCACCAGTTACCTTCCTGAAATTTGAAAAGAAATAAACATTTATAAACATAAGGGAAACGATAGCGAACATCCATTTCTTCTTCTATCTCTTCACTGAATGTGAGGAAGTTTAATATTCCTTTGTTCTGCTTGCAGCATCAGTTCAGCGATCCTCAGGGTTTATCTTGTAAAAGATGAGTCTGTGTCTTTTGTTCTATAAAGGATCTGATCTGGTATTTGTCCTTCTACGCCCGATTCTTCTCCTGTTACCTTCCGCTTTATGGCTTCTTTGGCTCGGTGGCTCTCATCATGTTTGTTAGGTAAGACTTCAGATTTAACTGATTTCGCTTTTTGCTTTTTTCCTGTTGGTTTGAATAATTTTACTCATAAAAAAGCAGTTCTTTAGAAACAGTCATGACAATAACTATTAGAGAAGCTTTATATCCTGATCATTTCTACCTCTTAGTTACGTGTTTCTTTGTTTTGTTTTTTCCAGCTTTGGGTTAATTTGGACTTTCTCTTTATTGACTCGACCTTATTGTCCTCTATTTGGTTTAAAGATGTTTTTAAAGAGGTTTCTTATTTAGTAATGATTGAAAAATGTGCTTGACTCTTATTAATGATTTAATTCTACTATATTTGGAGGATTTTTTTATTCCAATTGTTTTAGTTTGTGGCACAGAATCATATTTTATTATTAGATTCATATAAATACATTTCTATACAGTGTACAGCAAACAGATAATTACTATAAGGCGTTATTACTTCAAAGAAAATAACAAATAAATGGTTTAAGTGGATTAAATCAATAATGAAAACAAAATTGTTTTTTTAACCTGATTATTTTGCAGATTCCTGGAGAGTCACTGGTTTGTTTGGGTGACTCAGATGAATCATCTCCCCATGAATATAGATCATGAAAAGCGGCGAGACTGGCTGACGATGCAGGTACCTTTCATTCTTTCATCAAACTGATACTGTTATACTGTCATTAGATGGATTTTCACCACTAACTTCTGCACTATTGTGATGGAAATCTGCGGCACAGAAAGCAAAACATCCTGTTTGCAAATAGGATAATGGAATATTATACTGGCTCAGTATTATATTCCATTATATTACACAAAATGATTTAAAATTCATTTATGGATGTTTTTTAATGGAGAAAGGCCACAGATTTGCACCACTAACTTCTATCTATTGTATATCGTTTATAATGGATCAATACAAAATAGTGGACAGTAGTGAACGAGGGTTTTAAACATGTAGTGATAATCAGCCATATTGTCACATGGTCGGCCGTTTGAAATCCCTTAAAGTCTCTTTGCAAGGAAAAGTATTACAGCATCACTATGGCAACGTCTCAATTAAATAAAAATACAAGATCTCAGACTTTGAAGGTCATCAGATGTTCATGATGTTTCCTTGGAGAATGAAATGTGTGACGGTGTAGAACTGAATTAGACCAGCATTTACTCCAACTAAAGACAGACGGACGGACGGACGGATCTATTGAACCAAACTTTGCTGCAGCTGCTTTTCCCACTCAAGCAACTTAAAAACTATTGACTGAGGCATTGAAGGACAAAATATATTGATCATATAGGATTGTTTTCTCTCACAAATGTATTTACTTTTTACTTTTATTTTTGTTTCTCCATAAAGTGGAAATTAAACGGTTAACCAAACTAGCTTAATTCACCAGATTGTGTCTTACTGTCATCAGAGGCGTTTAATTACCAATTCCAAATACTTTGTTACTTTACTTCAGTAGAAATGTTGTCTATCTTTACTTTACTGCAGTAATTATTTTGCAGACATCTTTCTACCTCCACTCTTTATATTTTTTTGCAATTATCTCCACTTTCTCCTCCTTACATTTTAAAAATAAACTTGTTTTGTTTAATGTAAGCTCAGTTTTATTATGGCCTGTTGGTATAAAAAATAATACGTTTCATCCAGACAATTAATGTCTCTGTGGTTGGACTCGGTGCTGCCCCAACTTGTTGCTCACCACATGCTAAAATAAATCGTTTTTCAAGATGATGCAAAGTTAAATGTGACGCTGTTACCATTACTTATAAAAATAAGAAAATTAAGTCTTAGGAAGTTTTCATCCAGAATGGTAGAAAAATGTTCCTCTAATAGAGCAGAGCAGTAAAGCTTCTGGCCTTCATGGTTTTTCATTACTTTTACTTTCATACTTTAAGTAGTTTTAAAAATGCTACTTTTACACTTTTACTGGAGTAAAAAGCTGAAGTTGATCCTCTAACTTCTATAAAAGTGTTTTTAAACAGCAGGATTTATACTGCAGGAATAAATATTAATACTTTTGACGTATCTGACTATCATCAGTAATTATATTGCAAATATAAAAAATCAAAACGTAAAAGAAAAAAACGAAGCGTTTTTTTATGTATTTAGCGCCACCATGTTGCAGTTCTCCCACTGATGTCTTGAAGGATCTGATGCTTTCGTGTTTCAGTTACAGGCCACATGTAACATCGATCAGTCCTTCTTCAACGACTGGTTCAGCGGACACCTCAACTTTCAAATCGAGCACCAGTGAGTCCGAATCACTCACCAGATCAAACTGGATATTTGTTTGTATTTTTAATAGAAATTCAGAAATATTTTGTAGTTGGATTCTATTGATGAAAGTCTATTTAATGAATGACGTAAAACGTTCATGAAGGTGAGCAGATTGTTGGAATGAAAGGTGCTGAAATGTCAGTTTTCTTGTTTTAACTGATGATGTTTTTAATAATGTTTGATCTATATGATCCTAATTATTCATAGCTGCTCTGATGAAGGCAAAGCTGCTAAACAGAGTTAAAGGGGGGATAGAATGCAGAGGTTCCATTGTCATAGATGAATAATGATAGTTCAGTGGGTGAAATAGACGCACAGAGAAGTTCAAACCACATCAACTCCTATTTTCTCTGCAAATCTCACAACTCTAACCTTTCATCATAAAACGGGCGAATCCAAACCAAGCACAGAGTTGACGTAAACTCGGGGATGTTGCCCTATTTGGTTCTGGCCTGGACTTTTGTGGCGCTGACATTGACATCCAGACCAGCCCACTGGTTTACTGGGCCAAGAACATGAATAGAGGAAGATGGAAGACAGCAGTTTAGCTGTTTAGCCTAAAGTTGGGTTTACTGCTACTAGAATTACAGAGTAGGAAGTTTCTCTATTGAAGATGAACCACAGGAGGAAATGCAGCGTTCCAGGCTGACCGGAGGAAGGGGAACATTTTCACAGGCTTGGCTGGGCCGCTGACTGGACCGTACTGGACACTCGAACCCGAGCCGTCAGCTCCGGGGCTGGTCCGGAGCCAACAGGGGACGGAGCGTCCGAATCCGACCTGGTGACGGTATGCTTCCCCCCCCCCGCCTGCCTTATGCGCTTCCCCCCACCTGCCATACCATGGGGAAGCATGGTAAGGCAGGTGGGGGGGAAGCATACCGTCACCGGGTCAGGTTTGGTCGATCCGTCCCCCCATTGGCTCTGGAGCTGACGGCTCGGTTGGAGAACACGGTGTGTTTCGACTCCGTGCTGCGCTCTAGTCGACCAAAATCCCCAGTTTTGAAATTCCGCTCGGACATTTTTTTAGGTCTGAAAAGTAGGACATGTCCTGGAAAAAGAGGACGTCTGGTCCCCCTACCATATCAACAATCTGATGTTTCAGTGAGTGAGTGCTTGTTGCTATGATGCTCGTTCATTCTATTACCTCTTTAAAGATGAAGGGCTGTTTGCCACATTCATCTCAGCTTTTAATCCCAGCAGATGAGACCAGATGGTTGGATGAGAGTCTTTCAAGGAGAAAAGGAGATATTTCGTTACATCTTTTTCATCTGAGGTTGGTTGAATTTATTTCAGACTCTTTTTTTGTCTTTAAGTTTGTTTCCAACAATGCCGAGGCACAACTACCACCTGGCGGCCCAGAGAGTCCGCGCTCTGTGTGACAAACACGGGATCCCCTACCAGAAGAAAAGTTTGTGGAGAGGCATGACTGATATTGTGAGGTAATAAACTCACCACAGGAGAATCAGTAAAATAATGCATGAGCAGAAGAGTGATGTCAGAAGCAATCAGTCTTTGTCTGTCTGTCCACCAGCCTGGTTACAAACTGATGCTTTCCCATTTTTTTTTTTTTTCAGCTCACTGAAGACGTCCGGCGATCTCTGGCTTGATGCTTATCTTCATAAATGATGAGGTGTTTTTAAATGGAAAAGTCTTCCTTTAGATTAAATTCCTGCCATGTTGTAAAATAAACAACAGCAACAAGCATCAGACTGATTTTCCTTTCTGTAGACGGTGTAGTTGATGGACTGAGAACATCCTTAAAGCTTCTGGGATTTTCAATTCTCCTTACTGACACGTGTTGTGTTTTATTTAAAATAAGTATTTGTTAATTTGTTAATTTTCTACTATATTCCGATTATTCCTGTTAATTTCTGTGACATAAAAAAGTCAAATGTAATAAAATCTCACAATGATCATTTTGTTTTTTGTTTTTCTCCAATCTTTCCCGGTATTACAGAATAAAAGCATTTTTGACTAAAACCGACAAACATTTAGTGATATTATAAAAGTAAGATATAGTTATAAAATCATAATGGTAATTTTTGCCTTTTGGTGTCTTAAAGAATTTGCTGATGTCTTATGAAGATTAAGCAAAAATGAAATCTGTAAGACGCTTTATGAGTCTCATCATCTGAACCACCTGCTGAGGAGCTTCAGCCAATCGATGATGGACCAAACTCCCAGCACTGAGATCTGAAACCAGCTGTCACTGTAGACCCTCTTCATTAAGACGAAGGCCCAGCTCCTCTTCAGCGCATCAGTCGAACCTTCAGCCACCTCTGCCCGTCTCCTCCCTCTTTCTTAAGCCTCTTTCCCACTGAAATCAGTGGATCGACCCGCTAACAACCGGCATTTGGCTCCCTTACGATTGGCAGAGCAAGCTGATCTCACCCCTCGTTGCCAAGGTGCATGGCCTCTGCCCCCCCACAGAAGCAAAGTCCAACTCATATATTAGCCCCATTTCAACCCCCTTCTTAAAACCGATCCGTGCCGAGTTCAGACCGAGCTTTGATCAGTTAACCGCGCCGAGCTCGCTTCCATACGGCCGTTTACACACCATGCTAGCACGGTTCCTCGCCTCCTAGTGATGATCTACGGTACTACTGCTCTCTAGAATTGAAGGAGGGAATCACACAAATCAAAATGGCGGCGCCCGTAACATTCAGGAAGTTATGTTTGGTAATAATTTTGCTGTTTATGGAGAGTCAGGCGAAGAAGGCAGCCTTTGGTGGATTTACTTGACAGAGTCGGCTTTTGGGAAGTGAAAACGACAAACGATCGTCTAATCAGGGCTTCCAGAGGCAGGAAACAATGACGGACGTTGAGGTTCATCACACTGCTAAGCTGGAAATCATGTGGCTCGGTACGGAAGCTAGGATTTTTAGGAATTTCCTGATTACGGAGGCTGACTGTAAGGGGATGGCACGGTCTGCTCATGAGAACCATGCCAGAACTGAACCGCGGCGAGCCCTACTGATGAACTAGTACCATGTTAGCGCAGTTCGGTTGGGTCTGGCACCGTCCGGTTCAGTTTGGGTGTCATTTACACTCAACAGTTATCCGGGTTACCGTGATCGGACCGATCTCAGCTCGGTTTCTAAAGGGTAGTAGAAATGAAGCATTCCTAAAGAGTTAAAAATCAATCCACTGGACTTTGTTTCCAAGTCTGAAGACGTTTCTCTTCCAGGAAGCTTTTCAATTCAAAATGTCAGAAATATCGTTTAGTTCCAAGTTTTATCCAGCAGCCCAAACTTGTTTGTCTTCAAACCTGGAAACAAAGTCCAGTGGATTGTTTTTTTAAACTCATGGAATGACTTTGTCCCGGATGACTGAGAATCTCCACCAGTAAATGGAGCAATATTTCAGTTCAGTCCAGCCAGGTACACATCAGGGAAGCTCCCCTCCTCCACCCTCTTCAAGCATCTGAAAGTTCCTGAAACTCAAGGAGGAATTTTGTCTCTTTTGCAGCAAGTTGGTTTTGAGTGTCAATCAGCAGATCTACTGAGCCTTGGTCAGTCTGGAGATCTGGCCCCTGGTCAAAGGCCCTGATGGTGGCTTACAGGATCAGGACTTCCTTTCCAATTTTAACCTATCAGAGCCTCATGGAAAAGAGGAAGAAAAGGGTAGAGACAGCTGCTTAGTCCTCAAGGGCCCGTGGGGGGGGGAGTGTCTTGTGATTCTGCCTTAGGCTGGGAAAGGATTGCAGAAGCTTGAGAACAGAACAGCAGGCAAACCTTCAACCTCCTGACTCAAGCCGGGCGAATACGGTGCAATATTAGCATTTGTTGCACGCAGCTACAGCTCACACTGTACGACGAAACTGCAGGGTTTTAAAGTTCACTGTTCACCATGTTTGTTCTCACGCTGTGCGACCCGACGCTCTGATGCGACCTCAGGATGGCTGACTGAATTTCAAACATGGTTGGTTTTCTCCCGACCTTCCTATTCCTGATCAGGATATGGTCGCTAGAGGCTGATTGCCCCTCCTTACGCCCTGTCCATTGAACGATGTACGATCAGTCTGACTGGTTGGACTGGTGAATCTGCCAAAAAAGGGCAAAAAAGACCTTACAGTTTATGCCGGTATGGAAGCTCATTGGTAGAATTCCCTTATGACAGAAAGAAGGCCACAATTCACAGCATTTTATCGTCCGGAGGGGGGGACACATTTAATTACAAAACCTAATTCATACAGCTTCAACACTTCATACATCCAGCAACACATCGTCAAAATTCTGTTATCCCCCACCTTCAGTTCATTCTGGGCTGCATTTATAGTTTCCACATCGCATTACGTAACTGCACATGCACAGGAATATCATGTCGAAAGTTCACTGGAATTCACTTGGGCTGGTCTGCGTCAAAGTCACTCCGACCCTCAAAGAATGTTTATACAGATGTTCTCTTTTGCCAAACCTCCTCATACATCATCTAATTGTGTATGAATAAGGCATTAGGGACTTTATTATTGCTAAGACACATACTTGAACTTCAACATGTACTGTTTTGTTGCTAAGTAAGTATAGGGCCACATGTAGGATATATTCTGATTTCTGATTCTGATCTGATATAAGACAATAAAACTTCTTCTACATATTCCCCCCTGTAGTTCATTGCAGATGAAATACTTTGTGATGTTACATGGTGATGTGAATACTACGCGACTAATTGCACTTTAATGCTTATGTTTAATGTAAAGAATTGACGAATTATTCCAGGTGGGGTTAATAAAGTGGTCTAAGTTTAAGGACTATGGTTACCAGAGTCCAAAATTATTATCATGGTTTATGACACTTGAAGCTAAACCATTTTATCGTCTAGCTCATTTCTCTGTATCCTTGCTCAACACTGTTTGATTTAATATGGAGGTAGTTACTATAAGGATCTATATTTATGGATCTAAGTGAGGAAATCATTGTTAACCTTTTGCAGAACATATAGTAACTATAAACACATTAAGTAATATTATGTGA